TGCTTTATTGTTAATAAATGTTGTGAATATTATAATATTTGTAATTATTGGAAATAATAATTGCTATTTACCACTTGTTTTTTTTCCAGTTTGGTCTAACTTTCCAATTAAATTTTTGATCAATTCGTCTTTTTTCTCTACCATATAGCTATTTTGTCAAGTATTGATTAACTGACTTTGATTAGTTCAGACTTATGGTAGTTTTTCAACAAACGTTAGTTCACACGTATGGTAGTTTTACAACAAGCGTTTCATCTCTCAAATAATCGAGATATAATTGAAAAAAAAATTTTTTAACTTATTTTCAGTAATTGTTTTCAAGAGTTCAAATTTAATTATTAGATCAGTGTAGGCAATTCAGCGTAGTAAAATTTCTACGTTAATAATATTTTGTAGATATTATTTTTGCAGTGAAGCATGCTATATATTTTTATAATGTTAGCAGATCCATTTTTTGATCGTCTGTCTTTTGTGGTGTCAGAATGGATGTTTACTTACGATGCCAACAAGTATTTTGTTCTGTACTTTAAAGAACAGAAAATACTTTATGATAGTTGACTGGTTTTTGTGATATCTCAGAGTAATGAGAAAGAAAATAATAACAGTATTCGAAGTATAATACCGGCGTCATATATATTTATCCGATGGAGTGTGCTATAGAATCCCAGATAAAATTCTCAACATTTTTAGATTTATCTGAAATGCTGAGAATTCTATCTTTCTCTTGTATATATTATTTTTACCTATGGCAAACTCTGTATGTGGATATTATTCACAGTCAGTATTAAGAAAAGTACAATAACTTGTACAACAGTCGCCTTTCATCAGTTTAAAATTTTAATCTAGAACAGGTATATTCTGTCCTGTATTCTTCCAGTAGGTTGCCAGTGTTAAACAGATAATATTTATTCAAAAAGTATTTGAAACTAACAGTTCTATTTTAGCAACAAAATAATGATCAGTTTTTGCAAAGAACTGTCCTATCAATTTGGTACCACATGCGTTTTCTTATTATGCTAATTTATTGTGTTACATGTTATTTCCATTTAACCTTGACATTTATAAGCTAATAAATGCAAATTGGCTCTTTTATTAATGCATGTTTTCTCTGTTTTGCTTCTTAGTTTTAATTTGTATCGCGATTTAAATCCTATATGAGATATTCGTTATTTTATTTTTATTTGCTTTGTTTGTAGATAAATCTAAAATGTCGCAACAATACGGTTTCGCAGGACAACCACCATATCAACAAGGTTACCCTCAACATCCCTTTTATCAACAAGGATACTATCCAAATGCAGGCAATCCACAGTTTCAGCAACAGCCACCTCCACCTGGTTTCTTTCCTCAAGGTAATATTTCTTACGTGCGTAGATGTCCTTCCTACCATTTTAGGATAAAATACCTTCGGAAATTTTACTTACAATAAGTAAATATTGAGACATTCTAGCTTCATGTAGACAATGTAATCTTTAATAGAATTCTTTTATTTTTAAATGTTGCTATAATATTTCTGGATGTTTGTGATCTTCATATTTTGAAATTGTGTTACATGCAAATCCGTCACCATTTTCATTCTTTTCGGTAAAAATATCGATATTAGTATTTTTTTAAGCACTAAGCAGCTATCTTTTATTGTATTAATTTAAATTAGATGGACTCAGCCCATAATATGACTTTTATTTCTTGTTTTTGTAATCCGAATTTTTTTGAACTTGGTAATGAAACGTAATCTCAGTATTCATTACTACTAGCTTTTATCCATTGTTACCGTTGTTTTTTAGGGTCCATGCCACCACCACCAATGCATGCTGGAGCAGATGCATATGTCGAAACTGGAAATGTTAAATCGGATTTTGGTTTTGATTCTGCATCTATTCGAGCAGCTTTTATCCGAAAAGTTTTCGTGCTTATTACGATCATGGTATACTACTATTGTTGAATAAGACAGGGCATATTAATTTATACAAGATAATAGTTTAGTTACTGATGAAGAAAAATATATCTTTGTGTGTTATTTTGTTTTGGGAAAATTTGCTTACTCATTGAAAATGCACATTTTTGATCATGAAATTTTGGCTTAATTTTTTCTAATATTAAATAATTTTTCAGCTAACAGTAGTGGCAGTAATGACTGCATTGCCGTTTTTCCATGTAGGAACTATGACGTTTGTACGAAGCACTCCTTCTCTATACTTTATGAGTTACGCTGTATTTATGGTGGTCTATTTCACATTGATGTGTTGTGAAAGTGTACGGAGGTACGTATTTTTCACTACTTTTGGGTAAACAATAGGAAGTAGATCAGGAACTCATAAATATTAGTATATTACATATAAAATACCATTTAGCTAGCATATGATTTACATCAAAATAACTTTCATTCCATGAAAACTAGTATGGGTAACAATTGAGTGTATACTATTGATTCTTAGACCAAGGATTTGCATTACTCGAATCGAATAGCAATGCTTTTCAGACTGATTTCCATAATAAAGAGCATTACAAAAATTTTATTTTCTCTGTTTTTAGATCATTTCCGGGCAATTTGATTGCACTAAGCATTTTGACTTTATCCGTTGGCTATATGACCATGATGATTTGTTCATTTCACAATGTAATTTCGGTTTTCCTGTGCTTGATTATAACCGCTGTTTGCTGCGGTGGAATTATACTTTTTTCCACTCAAACTAAATACGATCTTACAAGGTTTTTGTTGATTTATCTAAAATTTAACTTGAATTTATCTCTTGTGTCACAATATTTAAAAAATGTTATTGATCATTTTAATCTCAAATGTGGTGAAAGCTAGGTCAGAAATCAAATTAGCGTTAGAAACTAGCAATTGCTTTTATCACATGTTTTTACCATTATAAACAAAGATGTGTTGATGTTTGCAGTAATTTTATATTACATTAAAAGGAAAATTTATAATATCTACAGGTCGTTAATATTTATAAATGCCTCAGACTTTGGGTAGGAAAGTTAATGAAGATAAAAACAAATTATTACCATTACTCATTCATTTTGCATCAGATTTTGGGAACAAGAGGAACTGAAACTAAAGTATTTTTTCAGCATGTACGGCATCATGTTCATTCTGTCTTTGGTTTTGCTGGTTTTCGGCATCGTAGCAATCATTGCTGGCGCCATATTTAAAACTCAACTTCTTTATTCCGTTTATGCTGGACTTGCTGCTCTTCTTTTTATGGTTTATTTAGCTATGGACATTCAGGTACAGAATTGGAATGCTTGATTTATTTCCTGTATCACAAAATTTACAGACACTTAAATTTCACAGTTTTTAACTTGTTTTCATTTTTTAAATATTCCATTTCTGTTTATGAAGAAGTAGGAACAGTAAATTGGTTGTAGTCACAGCATCTTCCCAAAAACTTTGTAAAGCAGTTTAGTTTATGCACTGCTTGGATTGTCAAGTTTTAAATTAAGTATATTTCAGGCAATAATGGGAGGTCGAAAGTATCAGATTTCACCAGAGGATCACATTTTTGCAGCGATCCAAGTTTTCCTAGACATCGTTTATATTTTCTGGATGTTGCTAACCTTATTTGGTTCAAACAAGTAATTTTTTTAGTTACTATATTGCTTATCTTTAATGAATTCCTTTGGTTCTCTTCTCTGTAGCCATAGTTTAAAGTTCAATGATTATTCGCTAGCAGTTAATTTCAACCTTTTATAAATTCAAAGTAGTAGTAAGTAAAAATGATGATATCAGTTCAAAGTTCATTTTTTTCTCTTTTTCAATCTCTTCAAATAAATTGATGTAAAAAAAAATAGTGAAATATATGACTTCATCTTCTTTAGATGAATATCATGACCTTAAACATCTTGAATTATTTCAAAATAGTATAGTAAGTTGTTAATGTGTGTCCTACAGTAAGTCAGATTATTGCATATCAAAATTTATTGCGATTACTTAAATTGTTTATGTGTAATAAGCGATTGAAATATCATTAGTCGTAAATACTGTTTTTTACAGTATTTTTTTAAATAGAAGGAGTCGTTAACATGAAAATTTTTCTCATATCTGTTGGTAAAAACTTCTTGGGGATTAAATAAAAATTCTTTTTCTTGTATTTTATTCATCAAAACATGGTCGTAAGAAATATCAACGAGTAATGTAATGTGATAGTTGTTAAGAATATAGTTATTTTGCAGTTTTATAAATGAATTGAGGAAGTAATTGTGATGCTCTTATAATACGTTAAGAAACTAAATTTTTGTTCAGAAGGTGCAATGTTGTGTATAAAATAGATTTTCATTAATTTTGATTTTGGTACTAGTAAGTGGAAAAAATTCTGAAGTGATGATTTCATTGTGAAATATTTTTAGGTTCTGACAGATAAGTATAGAGCCTCCAAATTTGTTTTCATTGTAGTTTATACGCACTTTATTTCTATTTCTAAGGTGGTTTTAATTGTCTCATTGCAACTCTCTTGCAGTAGTTTATTTTTGAGCTTTGGTAAATTTAAAAATTGACAAATGCAATACTGTGTTCATTTCAGGAACTGAGAATAAACAGTGAGCCTGTGCGTGATGACTATAAAAAGTATCGAATCGAATATTTTTTCTATAACTTTATTTCGATTAACATTTTGCAATTTTTCCATTTATGCAGTTCCACTTTTTTTGGAGAAGGCTGCTTCTGTCATCCTTTCATTTTCTAATAATTTATGGAAGATGGCTTCCGCTAAAGTCGACGAAGTAAATAGAATAATAAAAAAATTTCAGCAACTAATGCTGATTTACTCTATGTAGAAGAGTTATGGTTTTCGAGCAAACATTAGCGTCAGCATTGTATTTACACGCAGAGCTATTAGAACTTCATCAAGGCGGCCGATAGCAGTTTTTTTAACTGTATTTTTATCCTATTCATTCCCAGTTTTTGATTTCAAGATTTTAATATTCATTGTCATTTATTCTGTGAGACAACATCTACTACTTTTCGTAATTGGAAATGCATGCTAGAAGTGTAGTAAAACGTTTTCTAATAAATGGTTTCATTTTAATTCTGAATTTCGATGGAAAGAAATATACAATTTTTTGACGAAAATAAGAAATAAGTTATCAATATTTTCATGCTATTTTAAAATTGTTTGTATTCATTCTAGAATCATTGGTTTCATTTATGCCAAATTATTGATTGCCATAAATGGCGTCCGTGACTGTTTTACAGCAAAATTTTCAGTATTCATGCTATTACAATACTCGGGCTTTTATTTTTGTGAATTATATTGAAGTAAGCTCCGATTTTCTATCTTAACCATTTTCTTGTAAATTGCAATGAAATAAGTCGTGTTCGATATGTTCAGTTTTTCTCAGATTATTATCTTTTTCAGATTCGGAAGTCTCATAAATGCTGGATAAATATTTGTTTCCTGATACTATTCATTTAGATGCACTTAAAATTATCCTTATATTTTGTAATGCCAAGTTTCGTAGTTGTTTGGCTAGTACTATAAATTTCTGAATGTGTTTGTTTTTCTCAAGACATAAAACATCTAAACTTCGTCTTAGTCATCTCTACAGCTATGAAAATAAAGTTCAGACCTTTCGACAAAATGATTATTATTGTATGTAAAATTTTATTCAAATTTGTAAAGTGCTGTAAAATATTGTAAAGCAAAATTTTGTTTTTTTAGCTCGTTATTTGTACAATCCATCTAGAATGTATGTATTTGATAAAAAATGAAGTAATGAAATTTACTTGTTATTTACAGAATTTACTTGTTCTTCTTTTTGGTACGGCGCAGCAACTGAAGTTTCCCAATTCATTCAAGATAGAATTTGAATATTACCCAGAACTTCGTGGAATTGAGAAGCAAAACTATAACATCAAAAAATTGTGTTTTTGTCATGAGCATGAAAGCATGGAACGATCGCAAAATGATGGTTTGACATAAATTGAGTAAACTGCAATTAGACTGAGATTCAATGAGTTATTGAAATACTGTTGGGGTACGTATTAATTATAATACCACGTAAAAAAATTATAACAAACCTTGATTCGGTATCAGCTAGCAATGTCAGGACAGGTTCAATGAGCAATGTCAGGACGCGGTTAAGAAGGTGAAGGCATAGAAAAGGAATGTGCTAAGGGTCATCGCAAGATATTGCAGGATAATATTTAAATGACTACAAAGCCAGGTATACGACACTTCGCTAGACGTGTGGTGTGAAACGCATTTCTGGTTTAACTTATAAGGTGACCAAAGGCATGCTCGAAATATTCATGGAAAATGTCATTTGTGACACAGTTACCTATTTTGAGCATGCTAAAAGAGAATCAGTAACTGCGATGGATATGGTCTACGCAATAAAACGTGAAGGAAATTGGTACTTGTACATGTGTCGCGCTGTAGATAACATCGACTTGTATAAAGTAGACAACAAATTTTGCTTGACAGATACTCCTGATTGTGGTGCTTTGTCATATGCTTGATCAAAGGGCAAATGTGAAAGGTTGGCGACAGATTTCGCACTGAAACATTTTCAGTGTTGTGTTTGGACATATGATTTAAAATATGTCATATCCTTTTGCTGTTAAAAACTTGTATATTTTAAATGTTTGAAGCAAATAGCTCATTGACTGCTGTGCTATATTTTTGCTCGAAATTATGAGTGGCATTGAATGGATGCACAAAAACATTGCGAAGACCCGGTATTTGAATTGAGCTGTTGATCTGATGTATATCAAAGCGATTATTTTGACCTAATAATTGCTCATCATGTTTTTCATCAGAAATTAACTCTACTGTCAAAAATACATTCATATTTTACGTAAGTATCTATAGTTTTCTTCAGCACTCAGTGTGGAAGGCAATAACTGTACACTAATTGCAAAGATTTATTTCTGAACTTTCATATGTGTTCACTTACTGTCTTCATTTGCATTACAGTAACTACCGTATCTGAGGCAATTTATCTACCTGAAGACAGCCTGAAATTTCGAACATCAGATTAGAACATTTGATTTACTGTGCATCAAAGCAGAATTCGTATTTTGTGCTTTGAATTTAAGGAGCTTAAGAGCTTTTGTTGGGAAAGTGCGGGCTTGCGATTACAAATTTAATTAATTATTATTGAATTAAAGCAAGTAACTGATCAAATTCTGAGCCTTCGCGAAAGAATCGAAATTAGAAAATTGCAGAATTCAATAAAATGAAAAAATATTCAGAAGTAATCAATAAATTGAGTGTTCAAATTGGCTTCGCTGAGATTTGGGCAAATCCTTCGCTGGGCGATGCGAGGAGAGAAGCAGACGAAAAAGATTCTGAGGGAACTGCTAGAATGCGTTGTTTTGTTGGATGAGAAGACGCGCGGAGGGATAAATGCTTTTGTGCGCTCAAAATGATCTCTTCCCATGCAACCAACCCATTTACAATTGCCTTCTCAAAGTATTATATTTTCGACCGTCCTTCCGCACTTCCGGCCTCTAACCAGGTCCATCTTACGCAGAGTCGTCCGTGACTTGACCAATGGAGTGACGGACATTCGAGTTGTGAGGATGGATGTGTTTGTCTCGTTGGCCGTCTCTTCCTCAATCACTGTGTTG